ACCCCTTCCCTCCCTCCTCCCCCTTCCTTCTTCCTCTCCCCCCTCTTCCCTATCCTTTCCCTTTTCCTCTCCAGTCTTTGTTTCTTTCTTATTTTTCTCTTTCCTTTTCTTTCCTTCCTCCACCCACCATCTCCCTTTGGATTGGAACTCAGGGTCTAGTGCATACCTAGGCAAGCACCCTACCACCGCGCTACACCCCCAGACCTTTGTGCAGTTTTGAGACAGGATTTGATTAAGTTACTCAGGTTAGCCTTGAACTCCCTCTGTAGCCCAGACAGGCCTTGAACTTTCCATTCTTCTATCTCCGCTGGGATGATAGCCCTGTGCTCCCAGGCCTGGCTTGGACACTACGTGTCTCAAGGGAGACTTGGAGCATGTGTAGAAGAGGGACTCTAGCATGGGAAGCAGGCTTAGGGCTCTGTGTGATCACAACAAATAGCTATTGCATCTGGAGAAGAGTCAAAGACAGAGCATCCTTAGTGAATGTGTGTGCTAAAGGCTGTGTCCAATCATGAACCATCTACAGGAAGCTCAAAGGCACACAGCCTGGCTCTGAAACTCCATGACACAGGGTGTCTTAGGAGAGCTATGGTCCCTGCTGCTGGGTACTTGAGAGGAGATGCGATGTCTGACCCCTTGGTGAAGATGCCCGAGGTTTTGTTCCCTGGCTGAGGGAAGGGCATAGGCGATTCTGAGACCCCCTTCTGGTGTGATGACCCACCTTTTGTACAAGGTCTCTTTGCTCAGTTGCCAGAACATGAGCAAGAGAGGGACGGGACATTATGAAAAGAGCTGGGCTTGTTCCGTCGGCTCAAGCTTCAGCCCTGTTCCCCTTTTCCATCGCTGCCCCTTACCAATGCAGGAGACACCATCGTCAGCCAGCACCGTCCCATGTTCACAGAAGCAGATGACTTTGTGGTTCTCGGGGTCCATGTGGCACTCGTCTACCTCACAGTGACTGCAGTTTAGATAATGCTTGATATTCACTTCCCCATGGCCCTCCATCACTGGTGACAAGAGGGGGGGGGGTCAGTCTCAGGATGAACATGAAGGTCGATCGCCCTGTACCCTTAGGTCCCGACTTTGAACTTTATTTCTGGTTGCTTGCAGTGGCTTCCTATGATCCCTGTCCCAGGTCCCTCTGTCGCTTCAAACACATCTCTGTTTGGGGAAGCATCTTTGGGCCCCTAGTGAGCAGAGCTGAGAGTGAGGATGTGTGTTTGGGTGTAAGTGAGAGAGCTGTAGTCAGGATCCTGATGCTGGTACAGATGTTCTAGCTGCCCTTGTATCATTTGCTAGGACCTGCCTGCCTGGTGGTCCATTGATGGGAATGTCTTTCTGTATGCTGTGAAAATATGTTGCTCTGATTGGTTGATAAATAAAATGCTGATTGGCCAGCAGCTAGGCAGGAAGTATAGGTGGGATAAGCAGACAAGGAGAATTCTGGGAGGTGGAAGGCTGAGTCAGGAGACGCTGCCAGCTGCCGCCATGAGAAGCAAGATGTAAAGATACCGGTAAGCCACGTGGCAAAGTATAGATTTATAGAAATGGGTTAATTTAAGATGTAAGATCTAGCTAGCGAGAAGCCTGAGCCAATAGGCCATACAGTTCATAATTAATATAAGCCTCTGTGTGTTCACTTGGGTCTAAGTGGTTGTGGGGTCTGTGAGACTGGGTAGGACCAGAGAAAACTTCAGCTACAGACCATCGCGCACCCCAACTTCCACAAAATATGATGAGATGAGCTATAGGAAGACTTGTGTCATAAAGTGGCCCATAGCCACGCCTTGGTGTCCTGACCCCATGTCAATAAAGTCCAGGTTTGGGCTTGGGTGGAAGAAGGGGCTTAAGTCTGTATTATCACCTGGTAGAGGGGGTACCTTTTAAGGCCGGGGTGTACAGGATACCCAATGGACTGATGAAGGAAACCCCATCTTCCCCATCCATTTCGGGGTCATTGTTTGATGCTGCGTTGCCCCCTGTGGTAAACCAGAGAAGCGTTGAACCCCAAAAGGTGGGTGCCCAAGACTCAACACACATGCACATCAACAGGCATGCAGTTTTGGCCAAGGCTATGGGTCACTGGGGGGTGGGCGGCTATGGGATAGGGAGATGGAGAGGGAAAGGAGGTTCCAGGCACAGAGGATGTACTTTGGTTTAGCTCTGCAGGTGCTGGGTGTATGGGTCAATTTCCCCTCCAGGTTGGGGCCAGACCATCCAGGGGAATCTCTACCACACTGCTGAGACCCCAGTACTAAATAGCTTAAGTGAGCAAGAGTCTAGAAGGTTCTAGTCTCTTTAGGCTAAGGGTGCATCCTGGTGGCTTGGAGGAGTTACTCTCTGGACACTTGGGGATCACGATGGGGCCTGGGGGAGATGAATCACTGTGCCTTCAGACTCCTGTCCCTCCTTTTATCTGGGGCTGGGTGATCTTGGGGCTCCCCTCCCCCCGCCCCGTGGTCCTCCCATCCACCCAAAGCTTGAAAAGGAAGCTTGTGTGGTTAGCACAAGCATTTTCCACACAGCGACAAAGCGAAACACAGATAACGAACATCACAATGCTGGCATGCAGTGTGTCCTAATCTGGGGGAGGGTGGGGGTATCATCTGCCAGTCTCTTAGATGCAAACTCTTCCCAAGAAAGGGGGGGGGGGGGCGGTCAACAGCAGTAGGCTGTTTGCTGCAGGACTGGTTGAGGTGGCTTCTGGGAGTAGTTCCCACCCGCCAGGGACAGTGCTGCTCTCTAGCAGCTAAAGGGGCAGGGCAGAAAACGGAAAGCCAGGAGCCCAAGAAACGGCAGATCAGTCTCTTCTACGCTGGCTTGGCCAGGCCCCCAAAAGGAGCTGTAGGGGCTAGAAGAGTCTGGTCTTCAGGGCTGCCTGGTCCTTGTGGTGGCTTATGCCACCATCTGGAAAGAAAAACACTTTTTACGTTCAGCTTTGAAGGGGCGCGGGATCGGGGAGGATCACATAGGATCTTGATGCTGTTTGCTACACAAGCCTGGAGGCGGGATGCTGGCTCGGAAGCCAACACCCCGCCTCTGGCGGGCCCAAGCCAGGCAGAGGGGAGGGGAGGAGCATGCAGTCACATCACAGTCCACACTGGGGCGGGGGCGGGGGCGGGGGCAGGGGCGGGGAGGTGATGGGGAGGGAGGAGCCTAGGACTAAGAGGGGGAAGTGTGACACCTAGAACACGAATCATCTTTACCTATATATCCTCCGCCTCCTCCACCTGAGGAGCACCCCCCTCCACCCCCTCCGAAACCCCCTCTTGTCTCCCACCCCCACTTCTTCATGGCCTGGGGGCAGGAATGTCCTCCAGCGGCACCCTCCAGCAAAGACTTTCCGGCCCAGAGCAAGGAAGTGTTATCATTCCAGCCGCCTCCACCACCTGCGGGAAGAAAGGAGACGCTTCTCTTGAGGAGCTGGAGAAGTTGGAAAGAGGATGTGGTGGGCCCTGGCCGGGGATGTGGGTGGGGCGGGGAGGGCACGCCTATTTATCTTGTTCCAGGGCCCTGTTCATGGTGGAAGCGAGGAGTAGCATGCCATTGGCACTCGGGACACCTCTTAGGCCACACCATGTGCCTATACAGTTGTTGAGCCCGGTGCCCTGCTTCCTGACAGGCCCCTCTAGGTCAGCAGTAGGCAGTGTACTCCAATAGGTATTTGGGGAGCACTAGGGACAGGCAGAATGATGGCGGAACTTCCTACTGTATGGCTGCCACCACCTGAAGGTGGGCTTTCACTAACTGTTTCTATCTGAAGGAGACCTGCGGCCCGGCCCATTGTCTCTGTGGCCAACGGCTGGGCACCTGCGGGGTTGGGGCCCTGGGCCTTCATAGGGTTAATCAGCAAGCCTCAAGCCAGCAAGATAGCTTCAGAGGCAGCAGGGGGATGCCTGCCCCCTTTTCCTTGATATCCGCATCAATGGGAACAGCTCCCATCACTCAGTGCCTTCAGGGTCCCTGGGAGATTTCTGGGAGAGGGTGGGGCTTTACCTGCGGCTCCGGAATTGCCATTCAGCCCTAGAACTGAGGAGTTATTCTCCAGTCTCTCTGGGTGGAACGTGTCTGTCTTGGCCCCATAGGCCCTGCCGCCACCACCGGCTGCAATGATCAGGGGCACTGGCACTCCGTCTTTCATCTGCCCAGGGGAAGACATTCAGAGATGGAGAGACTGAGCTAGGCATCCGTTAGGGAGACCCTATGCCCCAGTTTAAATGTTTCAATTTCACAACTTGCAGGGCGGTGGGGTGACTTCTCCACCTGTGGGGGTTTGAGGGCCCCAAATTGATGTTCTAGTAACCCCCCTCTGAGTTTCTGTATCAGTTGGGGTTCAGTCCGTGATGCAAGCCTAACTAGGGTACCCACCTCTTAGGTCACAAATGAGCTGGAATGGACCCCTTCCCTGAAGCTCCTTGGAGGTCTTGTTGCTGGTGATTAGAGGCAGGTCTTGCTTTATCTTTCTGTACTCTGTCACCTCTTGGACCTCCCACAAGTTCAAGAATAAGCCCTTAGCATCACCGTCTCCAAGGGGAGCACCCAGCAAGAAACTCTGCTTCCCGTCTGTAGCCTGGCTTTCACAATGTCCGAAAAGCCAGCCTGGCCCGGGTGGACAAGGAGCCCTGAAGGCAAAGGCTGAGTGTGGTGTTCCGGGATACCCTTTCTTGGGTAGACAAACCCGAACTCCCTCTGGGCCATGGTTTCTCGTTGTTTACTTGACATAGAACACCCCAGGGGTTTCTATCTAGATTTGTTCTGGGGCTAAAACACCATGGCGGGCAGAAGCCAGTGCTTTATCTTTCGGGGAAGACCTCACCTTAAACACGTAGGTGGCTCCACCCCCACCTCCTCCTCCTCCTGCCCACTCATGTACGCTTCTGTTCACTCGAATCTCTTCTTCTATCACGCTGTTCTCGCCGACACAGACTTTCTGGATTAGTTGGTTCGCCTGTACAAACGAAACAAACCACCTCATTGGGTTTGTGCCCAGGTCAGGGACCTTGTATCTTGTATGCTTAAGGTAGGCTCTGATCACGTGTCAAATAGCCTGTGATTGAATTGGGGAGATGAAAATAAATACTCGCAATGATCACTTTGAGCAGTGTTTGGAAAGGGCCCCAAGGCCAGCTTGGAGACAGATGTTATGAGAAGTGAGGGGATGGATTTCAGTTAGAGGACTCTCTGCAGGAGGTGGCTCCTAGTTGGGCTCTGGAGTATAGGGAGGAGGGTTTCAGCACAGAGAAGGACAATTCGGGTCATTCCAAGAGCAGAGAGTAGCATGACCCCACAGGGAAGGAGGTAAGTGGGTGTGTGGAGAAAGGCTTTAGGCTCCCTTGCCTAGAAAAGTCTAGCTCAGTCCAGAGGGACCGGTTAGGATCCAGTGACTGCTGACGAAGACCAGACCCCGGGTTGTGAGATAGGCTGGAGGGCATATAAATTTGGGTGACTATAGGCGTTAGATGAGCAGTCAGGTCACGACAAAGGGGCCTTGATGGTGATCAGAGTTGGATTTGGGAGTGGAGAGTCAATGAGCACGCTTTCTCTCTCTCTTCAGTTCTGGAGCACTATGCAGAGAATTCAAAACAAATACAGAACAAGTAAACAAAACCCAACAGCGGAGTTTTCATTTTCGGCTCATCTCTGTAAGTCATTTCTCCATCTTAGACATCTCATTCTGGTCGCCTAACATCCCATTTCTTCTTTCTAGAAATCTCCAGCACGTAGCCCCAGGTAGAGAGTAGAGTCCCCTGGCTGCCACGGAGAAGAGGGAGTGGACCTTGGAATCTGACAGCTACACCCATCACCACTCTGGGTGACTCAGTGGTCTTCAGGTATGGGATGGGGACAGTGACATCACACACCCTATGGTGATGTGCCGGCGAGCCGCTACCCCTGGGTGCCACACTTGTTAAGGATGGGTAGGTGGTTGAGTTAGGATTCCATTAGATTTACTTCTGGGCCCCACAGGCTCCTGATGGGATGTGGGAGTTGCTGGGACTGTGCCAGGATGTCTGTAACACTTAAAAAAAAACAAACAAACCCTGGAATCCTGAGAGGCAGAGCCTACTGTCTGAAGAATAGTCATACCTGGCTTGGCCACAGCAGCTCAGATGAATTCTCTAAACACCAGCCTGACCTCAGAGGAAAATGACTTTTCTTTCACTTAATGGAATAAAAGCCAATAAAACATCAAATTTTCATCAAACGCCTCTGCATAACCAGGCGGTGGACACGGCAATCCATCTTGAGCCATTCCTTATGCTAAAGTATTCAGGAGTGCCGGCAGTGAGTACTTGAGAAATTTCCAGATAAACAGATGAGATGCAATTTGTTTTATAGCATTTTGGATTTAATGATGGAAATAATTTGACATTTCTTAGAGTGGATTTAGTGTGCATGGAAAGTTCTGGACTGCTGGGGTAGAGCTAAGCATTTCTCCCATGTCTATGCAGCGATGCCCAGGGCTGTAGGGAGACTGCTGGGACAGGAGTGGGTGGCAAGGGGCATGTCCTGAGTCCAGAGGGAGGGGGAAAGGCTGGGGGGCTGCTGGTTGAGCAGTACTTTAACGAGGCTCTCAGGGTCCTGGACTTGCCTCCATCTATAAAAGAAAGGGCTGTCTATCGTGAACCAGCAGAGCCGAAAAGACCCACTTCCAGACCTGTCTGCCCCTCTTTCTCTCCTCTGGCAGTCAGCAGTGTGACCTCCACATCCTGGGGATGCCTCTTTCTGAGAGAACTGATTCTGGAGACTTTGGATACAGTGTCGGGACATGAGGAGTGGAGCCTGAGGAAGGCCTGTCTTCCATGTCCCTGCTCCAGGTAGTCCTTCTGCCCAGGGCAGAAGACATCTAAGACATATCCATTCTCAGCCAGCATCTCTCTGACTTAGCAGCAGCCTCGGGGGGCGGGGGGGGGGGGGGGGGGGAGACAGTGCACGTCACCTGATTCCTAGGACTCCCCCTGCCCCAAGTCCCTCCTACCTCCCTGGCTCCTTGTTAGTCTCTCTTCTTTTTCCTTCTAATCTCTAAATGCTGGGGACCCAGGGCTCATCCTTGGTTCCTCTTTGCTATCTGTATCACACCATAGGCAATCTTAGTCCGTCTGAGCTTTATGCTGGTTTTTATCTTCCTCCCTGGACCACTCATCGAAATCCCAGTGGTCTATCAGTGTTACCCACCTGCCATCTCCCGTTGTCTACTAGATTACCATAGCCAGTGTGCTTGACCTTGAACTCCTGACCTTGCCACAAAATCTGCTCTGTTTTTTTTTTTTTGTTGTTGTTGTTGGTGGTGGTTTTTTTTTTTTTTTTTGTTATTGCGTTGTTGTTGTTTTGGCAATCTCACTTGTAATTGAGGCTATCCTGGAACTCACTACGGCAGCTGTTCAGTCCTTGGAGTCCCTCTTGACCTTTCTTTCTCTCCTAAGGACCCACGGGGAGAGTGTAGAGGAACCAGGAGGACCCATGGCTTTCTTCCCATGCCCAAGTGTGCCTGGCATGCCTGGCCCGACCAGCAGAGGGCGCTGCCCCCTGCTCCACGGCTGAGGTGGCCTCCTCCTGCCCTCTTGGGAACTGCTTGCTCCCTATGCATCCACAAAGTTTGAGAACAAGTACGTTGATTAATAAGAATGATAAAGTGCAGCAACCTAGAGGAACAAGTAGATTACAATTGAATTAAAAAAATAAAAAGGACATAGTCCTGTGAAAAGACATAACTGATTACAATCCAATCAAGTGAACGTCCCTTGCAGAAGTCAATGCAATCTTTCTGCTTAGATGAAAGAATTACATTAGCACTCAATAAATTCCTGTGAAAATTACAGCAGCCTACAATTTAATGACTTAATATATTATAACAGCCTGCACAATCCTGATTATAGTTCCTAAATAAAAGTTGGAGTTGGAGGCATTTCTCAGACACGAGGTTGTACCCACCAGGCTCTGTCCTCTGGTGTTGTGTTAACGCCTGGAGGAGTGGGGGGTACCAGGAGACTAAGCTGCTGTCGCTTGCTGCCCCCTGAACTCACAGCCCATCCCTTGGCTCTTGGGAGCTGAGTTTCTTTATGGCACTGAACTGCTTTCTTGGTAGCCCCTGCTCCTCCCAGGCTGCTGCTGGGACAACTTTTGGAGGTGGTGTTGTGCCGGGCACTGGGATCCAGCAAAGCTGTGCTTCAGGGGAGGCTTTGGCCTGACTCAAGCAGGACAATCTGCCCTCCTGGGACACCTCAGTTCCTGCTAGCCTAGCCAGCACCGCCAGGGTCTTGCCACCCCGCTAACACCCCCAAGGCAAGAGCCAGATAACTGGGGGTGTCTGAGGCTCCCATAGCTGCTATCTAGTTAGCCTCACTGTCCTGTTCTGTGGGTCACTTTTGACGGCTCTGGGCAATCTCAGCTCCTGCTGTTGGGCTTTGACAGCTAGACACCCCAGTGGGGTCAGAAACACAATGCCAGGCTGTCTTTGTGACCACAGAGGCTCGCCCAGCGATGGGCTAGCTAAGTGGAAATGGGAAGAAGATCCTGGAAACAAGACAAGTGTAGGATGTAGACAGACGAAATGCTCTAGAGTTCTGGGCCACTTTGTGAGTGACATTGGGCAAGTCCCTTCACCTCTGTGGTTCTCCCCCTTCTTCCTCATTTATAAAATGGGAGTGTAAAGTTTAATCCTGAAACGTCCCCCACAGGCTTATAAATTCTGAATATTTGTTTCCCAGTTGATGTTGTTTTGGGAGGGTGTGGAGTGTTTCAGGGGTGGGAAGCAGGTCATTAGGGATGGTCCTTGAAGGGTTTACTTGTCCCTGGCTCTTGCCTCTCTTTCTCTTTCCAGACTTGCTGCTATGAGGTCCTCCCTGCCTTCTCCATGATGATGGACTGAGACCCTTTGAAACCATGAGTCAAAAAGGAGTGTTCTCTTCCCTTCCTGTTTCTGGCCCGTAGTTTGTCAGAACATAAAATTAACTGATGAGAAATGGGCTACCAGCATTCTGGCTCAGTCTAGTCTATGCTTTCAATTTTTTTAGTTTTAATCACATAAATAATATATGAAGGCATTCTTTCTTTTGCTTTTTTTTTTTTGAGTTAGGGGTTCCTGTGTCCCTATACCGCAGGCCGACTTCGAACACCATTCGCAGCCAAATATGACCTTGGATTTCTGTTTCTTCTTCTTCTTCTTCTTCTTCTTCTTCCATCTCCCAGATGCTGGGATTACAGGTGTACTCCACCATGCTCAGGAGAACAACAAACCTCGTGCAAGCTAGGCAAACACTCCACCAACGGAGCTACATCCCAGACCTGAGAACATTCTTTCTGTGATGATTTCAGACATCGTTTGCCAGGTACCCCCAATCCAGTCTCCTCCCAAGAAGTGTAGCTAATGAAGCTGTATTTCTTTAGAACACTGTTTTGGCACTTTTATGTACATCTACATGTGGTCATATGTCTGATTTTTGAGTGAATGTAAAGCCTTTTCATTTTTTTTCCCACTATGCATGAAAACATGATTAAATACAACAGTGCGTCAGCCAGAGCCCTCAGAGGAGGCTCCTTCTCCTACTTCTGTGGAGAAAATCCACAGAACTTAGGTAGGATTCAGACCTTTGGCTTCAAGTCAATCATGAAACCTAAGCTTCAACTGTGGCTCCCATGGGGTTATAAAACTCCAATAGGCCTCAAGCACCAAATGGCCCTAGAAGAGTAGGGGAATTCATGGATGGAGCTGGTGCAAGTCTTTGAATCCCCAGAAGGATCATTGGGGGTTACTGTCCTCCAAGAAGCCACCCTCACCTCCCCTGGGGCTGAAACACGCCCCTGCTCTGAGCACTTACCCTGGGACAGGCATCCTCCCCTTGCTGGCCGACAAGGATGTACAGCATGTCATCCTTCTCCAGGTTGAAGATGCCCAGGACAGACACGCCATGGGACCGCATCATGGTGTTCTTCCCACCTTTCCCACCAGCCGCTCCATAGCCTGAGATGCTGCAACAGATCAGAACGTGATGACCCTCACTGTGTTCGGAGACTGATCCCCCTGCCCCCTGTCAAACTGCGGGTTTTCAGGGGCCCACGCACCTCCCCATCCTGTCCACACCCCCATGAGTTCAACCAGGAGGGAGATCGCTCCCCACTGCTGGGAGAAGAAAGCAGTCAGTTAGGGGTGGGGGAAACTGGAGTTACTCAGTCACAGAGCTAGGCAGGTGAGGGATTAGCCAGATGTTCTAGGGAGGGAGCTGGGTTTGGGAAAGGGTTGAACGCTTCAATCCCACTCAAGATGGGATTTCTTAGCCCTGAATCAAAAGACTCATGTGACCCTAGACAAACAACCTCCCTGTTCCTTATATATGACTAGAAAAAATAAAAGACCCTATCTCTTATCCCACAAGTGTTATGGATGATGAAGGAATTCAGCCTTGAAATCCTCGGGCCTGGTACACAATAGGCACTGAGCCAGTGTTTGTTGCTAATGGATGTGAATGGTGGTAGTAGCTAGCAGTCACTGGCTTGGTACAAAGTTTGGAAGTCTCTCCTCAGGGGCCCAGAAACAAGGAGCATCATCCGAGGAGAGCATGCTTATGAGCTAGACTGCTTATCCCATCCCAGCCGTAACTCCTGGAACTATCTGTGCAGACCACAAACAACTGATCACCATGAAAATGAAAACCGATCGCGGGGATGTGGGATTAGATCCGCCGCCTCTGAGATGGCTGAGATGAAGTCAGTCGAGGATGGGGGAAAAACTCAATTCATGAACTGTGGCAGAGGGACGGCATGTCTTGAAGACAGCTAGCCTACCATCTGACAAACACTAACAAACGCCTCCCTGGAGAATGGATACCAGGGGCTCAGGGAGGGTTCTCATGTCCCTGTGTGTTGAGGTGGAAGGTCCTGTAAGAAAAAGACAGCAAGAGATGGAAGACGGCGTTGTCCACATATACAATGGCTTCTGTAAACAGCCCGTGTTCTGAACACGTGGAAAGCTCCCCCCCACCCCCCCCCACCCCCGCCCTCAAGTCTCTGCCAGGGTACAGTCCAGGTCCTTTCTGCAGGGACAATCCTGGAGATGGGCTGTTTTCTAATGCAACAGACAAGAACCTGGGTTCTCCGTGGAATGCAAATGGATTCTGGCATGCATGGTCCAGTTGGCTACTCAGGCACCTGCTTGAGTTTATTAAATGCTTGTGGAGTGGCATGAGGCTTCATGCACAAGAAGATGACCTGAGATGGGTTCCAGGCTCTGCAAGAGCTTATGAAGAAACTGGGAAATGCACACAGTTATACAAAGGGAGACCTCACCATAAGGGTGGCTCTCTTGTGGAGGCAGCTGTGGGGCTCCAAGACCAAAGTTTGGGTGCCCCATTGGAGGCCCAGCCTCTTCCCCAGTAGAAGGACAGCCTCATAGTCTTCAAACCAACATGGTTGTTCAAAGCAAAGAGACAATGTAATGGAGATGCATGGGTGCTGTCAATTCCCACAAAGAGTATGCACCATCAGATTCCCAGAGCCAGGAGCGCCAGAGGACTGATGGGTGCCAGAGGTGGAGGTACCGGGGTGATCTGGAGCTCTGAAGTTGGCTTTGTGGTGGGGGTGACAGATGGGGGGGGCTCTCAGGCAAGACAGAAGGTATGAGTCAGGGCTTGTGTGGCCAGAAGTGACGAGGAAGGGAGCCTCTCTGCTGTCCAATGGCAGCAGGTGGCTAGTGTGGGGAAGGGGAGGTTGTAGGTCTGGAGAAGGGAGGGAGCATGCTCCAGGGTGCCTGCTGAAAGGCATGCTGGCTTATGGTAGATGTGATTCATCTCATTTGAAAGACGGGGCTCAGAGAGATGAACCCACCTGAGGCCGCATAGCTGGCCAGTGGTAGAAAGAGGACCATTTCCTCTCCTACAAGGCCACTTCCTCTCCCATGTGTCCTGCTGGGAGGCATATGAATATTAACCAGGAGGGGCCCAAGAAGACCCTTGTACATGTTAGTTCCTTCTGACTGTCAGCCAAAAACATTCTTGATACATTATAAACAGATGAGGGAGAGCCAAGAAGATGGCGTAGCAGATAAGAGAGCTTGTTGTACAAGCCTGAGGACATGAACCCCAGCCCTGTGCAGGGTGGAGGTAGATAGGAGATCACTGGGGGTTTCTGGCTGCCCCCATAGTTCTAGGCTCAGTAAGGAACCCCGTCTCAGAAAAAGTACACTCAGTGTTTTCCTTTGATCTCTACACATGAGTGTATACAAGCGTACATGGGAACGCACACACAACCCCAACCTGAATTGGGGAGATGGGGGGGAGGGCAAGAAATGGATAAGAGGAGTAGGCTGGGGATGTAGTCAGGCTTGTCTAGCACACATGCGCCCTGGGGGTTGATCCCCAGCATTGCCTAAAGTCAGACATAGCGGCACCTATCTGTAATTCCAGCTCTTGGAAGGTAGAGGCAGGAGGATGGGAAGTTCAAGGTCATTCTCAGGCGAGCCCAGGCTACATGAGGTCCTGTCTCAAAAAAGAGAGAAAGAGAGACAAAGGCATGAGGACACCCCCAAAAGGGGAGCTCATTGGTGGAAGGCGAGAGGGAGCAGAATTATTTAGCAAGAGAAGCGTGAACAGAAGATTGGGGAGTGGGTAGTGTGGCTTCCAGAGAAGGGCAGTCTCGGGATGGGAATGTTCCCAAGGCCCCAGGTCTGTCCCTGCTTGCCCAATAGCTGTGTGAGCATGGGCAGATTGTCTTCCCTCTCTGTGCCCCAGTTTCTTGGCAGTATAAAAGGGAGGTAATATTGGCCTTGAAAGTTGGTTTCTGGGGCTTGGTCAGGTTGCACGAAGAGGTCTCATTTCCACCCCAGGATGGGGTTGGCTTGGAAAACTTGAGCTGAAGTCTTTGTCCCGCTCCATCCATCCTGCTTACTGCGGAGAGGTAGGTTGCTGCACCCTGCTCATTCCTGCCTGCATCATTTGCATAGTCATTTGCATCAATCTGCATGCATTAGGAATCATTCTGAACCCTTTCACATGTTTAAATTTAGCCAAATTATTACATTTCGGAAGTTGTTTGTTCCTGACTCCTTTCCCCCCACCTCCGAGGCCTGCCTTCATATTTCTCCTGCGCTTCCAGCAATCCAAACTCCACCAGCTCCCTCCAGCTCTCAGCTCAGCTCTTGGCAGTGAGGTGGGCTGGCAAGAGCCCTGAGCTAGGAGCCACACACTGGCTCTAGTCCTGGAAGTCCTGGCTGTGTGACCTGAGCGAACCCCTGCTAACCTGTAGGAGCCTCACCTTCCGCTACTGAGGGGAAAAAAATGAAGGCAAGGACCCCTGCCTCATAGATGTCTGGGACAAAGAGTGGGTTTAAAAAAAGCTATGAATCCCGAGGCATAGGCCAAGACTGGGTCTCCAAAGTCAGTAGCAAAACTTGACCACCAGGTGTCTGACAGGCACTTACTCCTGGTGGTGGCCTCAGCCACACATTTCCACCATGGGTTAGGGACTCAGTGTGTAGGGGATTGTTGAGGTCTTGGGGGCGGGGGTGGTCCCTTCCTCCTCCCCCGAGGCCTGAAACCTCAGAGTTTACACAAGTCTGGTCCTGCCTCAGAGTGACATAGGACAGCATAAGAAAAACCAGGGCTTGCCTTTACACAAACCTGGAGCCAAATCTGAGCTTTGCTGCTCAGGTCAGGGAACACCTAGACATCGCAGTTCCTCCTTCTAGGTGCTGACCCTGCCCTGGTCAAGTCCATGGCTGAGATGCCTTCCTTTTGGCTTTCTTCTCCTGGCTGTATCAGTCTGACTCAATAGCTGTGTGACCCTGGGTAGATTATGGTCCCTCTCTGGGCTCCTTGGTAATATAAAAGGGAGATAATAATATTGGCCTGGAAAGACCATGGTGAGAATTAAATGATAATGTCTATATGGGACCTAACTGACTGCCAGAGGACAGTCAGTGAGTGACATGTGTAGAGGCTGTTAGAGCAGGGACCTGACAGTCTGTGCTTTTCTGGGGGGGGGGG